TGAAGAGAAGCAGGAAGTGGTGTGAAGAGAAGCAGGAAGTGGTGTGAGATTTGATGAAGGTGATTAAGAGGAACCTGTGGGGCTGCGAGACATGATGAGTGGACAGGAAGTCTGGTTGTCCTCTTCCTGAGGGATGGAGAGGAAATGAGAAGCTTTTACATTCACTTTTGTTTTCAAACAAGCTGTTCTTCATGACTCAGCATCGCCCCAACCAGGTCAAACTGTGAACAAATTGTCTGTTTGTCTCACCAGGTGAGCGTCGTCAGAAGGGAGGCTGAAGGTGCAGGTGCTGGAGGTGGACCTGGAAATCTTACTGCTCTCCTTCACATGAGCCCTGCAAACAAACAAAACAATCATTGATGCTCCTACTGTTTCCTCTGTCTAACACAGGAGGAAGCTCACCTGTCACGTTGCCCCGCCTCTGGAGAGCTGGGATTGGTGAGAAGCCCTGCCCTCACCTCCAGCGTCGTGTGGCAGCCGTCGAAGCTGCGCTGCTCGCAGAGGAGGCTGAAACCAGATCAGCTGATTCATAAACACGTTCAGTTTCAATGGTTCTGACCGACTGAAGGGGAAGGCTCTGGGCTCCAGGTTACTCAGAGGTCCATTATGGTTCCTGGCTTCAGTTTTAGGCCTCACCTGTTTTTCTTATTCAATCCACTCTGAATCAGAACCAAACAGTACCTCCTGGGAACTGATCAGAACAACAACAAAAACCTGCTGGGAACCGTACCTGCGGTGTTTCTCCGTCTGACTGTCGACGCTCAGCAGTCGAGGAAAAAGTGCAGATCGTCTTTTCACTGGAGATTTCACACCCTGAAAGGAGAAACACATCAAATCTGCTGAGTCACAGTATGAGATGGATCAAATCTGCTGAGTCACAGGAACTTGCTTGTTGTCACCTCAGTGCTCAGGTGTGCCAGGCCTCCCCCACTCAGACTGGTGGGCAGTCCTGTCCCGCCCCTTGACATTGTTTCCATGGAGACGCTCCGCCCTTTCATGGCCCTCTGAGATAAAAGAATGAAGTTAAAACTTGGAGGGTTTCAAGTTTTAATGTTGTTCAGAAGTTTTTATTGATTTCTAACATCAAACAGATTAATTATCTTGCCATGACTCGAAACTAAAAAAACATTTCAATCTAAACTTTAAGCAGAACCCCCAGCCAGACCTTGATGGACTCCAACAGCCCTCCGTGGGTGTGGCCATTCTCTCCTCGACCCTCCTCCTCCACACCTGAGCTCAATCCCAGCATGCTTTGGGAGCGTCTCTGCAGCTCGTCCAGGAGGCCGTCCAGCAGAGCAGACCGGGTCCGCTCCTGAAACCGGATCCAAAGAGCAGAAAAAACATCACCTGCCTGACGTCAGGTTGTCGTTGGGTGTCGGCCCTTGCAGGTGTGTTTACCTCGAGGCGGGCAAAACGGTCGCTCTTGTAGCTCGCCAGCTCAGCGTTGATGAGTTTAGTTAGCAGGAAGTCTCTGAAGTCTGGACCCTGAAATAAAAATCACCATCAGAACAGCTGAAGATCGTCGTTCAGGTTAAGGTCTGGGCTCAGGCTCACCTTCTGAAAGACTGCTGGTTTCTGGAGGGGCGGGCCGAATGGTGGGACATCTTCTCTTGCTGTGACGGACACCTGTCAGTCAAATCAGGTTGTCTGGTCAAAGATTTGACTTTAATGAGAAAAGGTTGTGTTAGCATGCCACAGTTGGTACCAGCTGATACCTTATAACAGGTGTGGTCCGAGCACGGCTCCTCCACCTGCACCAGAATGAAGGCGTGCAGGAAGTTGGAGGCGATCATGTCCGGGACAAAGGGCGTGGCCTCTTCTTGAAACACCAGGGTGACTATGTCATTTCCTATGTGTCGTTTCCTCTGCAGCTGAGTGACATCATCATTACATCATGACACCATGTGACATCCTGCTGTGTTGTGACATCAGCATTGTATCTTCACGACATAGCAGTTTCACTCAAAATCTTTTCTTGTCCAGAACCAACTAGCTCTGGTCCTTAAACTGACCCAGACTGTGCCTCTGTACCATGCTGAGTCATGATTTAAAACCACTGCACCATGCTGAGTCATG